GTTTGCTGTATTTGCGCGAAACGTTGGGTCGGAGTCTGACTGTTGGACTGCTTCACGATATCGCGGGTCATGTTAGCGGTGACCAGCTTTCGAGGCATCGGCTGATTCTCGTACAGACTGCACACCTCGACCGGTAGGTGCGTATTGCCGGAGCCCCGGGTCTTAATCAGCGGAACGTTCAGTAATCTCAGCGGTCTTTGATAGTGATCGCGGAAATACTGTTCCACTGACACGACGTCCCCCTTCTGGTCGGGAAACGTGTATTCTCCGGGTTTCTTAACAATCATCGACTCTATCACGTAAGACCTCTTATACGGCAAATGATTGGTGAATATCTTAAGGCCTTAAAGACAATATCAATGATTAGATCGAAACGAGTGGTAAATCAATGGATTGAAAACCTTTTATCTTTTTGTTGATCGCATCGATCAGTTGTTGAGTAAAGGGTTGGCGCCCAATGTCCCCGATATTCATCTCCTTTTGGAGAAACTGAGCCAAACTACCGGCGCTCAGGAATAGCGTCGCAGTCCTGTCCACAATGAATGTCAGCCCCTGTTGGGTGACGTGAAGGGACTGGTAGTGTCCGAACGCTATCTCAGCGTTGGTGCCGACGATCGCCATCCGACGGTCCGGTTCGTAGAGATTGCGTCCGACGGGCACTCGTGTCCTGTCCGACACATACCGGAGCACAATCTCCAGCGCTTGAATGGCTTCGCGGAAGTCCTCATCACTAGGCGCGCGGTTCTTACCGGCGAAGTAGCCGTTGATTACGTTGAAAGCGATGGGTTTCGTGAATTTGATCCGCACCTCAAACGTCTGCTCCGGCTGTCCGTCCAACGCGATGGTCACCCGTCGGGGATGTTGTTCCCCATTGGGAGGGAGGGCTAACTCGCGGCCGCAATACATATACTGCTGGCCGTCGAAAGCGTACAAACGGTTCGCGAAGACTTCGGGCCACTCGCGGGTCATCTGATCCACGATCCGACGGTTGTCGGCCTTTCGGTCGTTGCGTAGCCGCCGGCCGTCCACACCAGGAGCTGCCGGTGCGGCCGTCATGGCTAACGATCCTCTCCCGTCCCGTCGGACCAGTTGTATGTTTATCTCGTATAACAAACACGTGATTCCTTCGAGCCCTTGGATCCGGTAGTGATTGGTGATCAACTCGATGGGCGTTCCCTGAGTGCCGCGACTGGTGACCACACCTCCGATGGACAGGGAGGACATGCCGTGCGTTAGACGGTCACCGCCACCACCACCAGTGCTCGACCTCCCGGTGCCTCCACCTCTGGGCGCTTGTTGGTCACCGCCATCACGACCACGACTTCCTCTCCGACCTCCACGTGCTGTCAGTGATGGACACAAATCAATGGTTAGATGTCTGGAGACATGTGTTTCAGAAACTCCATGCAATCAATGGTTTGCTTTTTGAGTGCAAACGACAAATGAATCCTTTTTTGGGGACACAAAGAGTGGTATGTATTGAGTGATAGTATCTATACTTACGTAACATCTAATCCGTGGTGTGTTAGAAGACTTCTTGAGGACTAAATGAATGACACAACCGTTTGAAAAGACTTTTTATGCGACAATGGTTTGCGGTTTGTGTGTAAAACACTGGCAATCAATGCAATCATATGCCATATGTATGCGTCACTCAACCGCTTATGGTTTTCAATGCTCACGTCTATTCATAGATACTGTTATATTCGTATGAGTTTTAGGGGTATATTTGACAAGCGTTTTGACCCCCACTTCATTACATTACGTTGAGTAACATACGATTGATTGTATGCGTAGTGATATCCATACCCTTGATTAGTATGTACCGCTATATGTTTTTGTAATACTGTATTCATATAACTGTAAAACTCAAGCAAATATTGATCTAAAAAAGTGTTGAATTCAGTGAATGAGTCACAAAACTTGTGATGATTTTTGTTTGACGTAAATGTGAATCATATTATCATATCAAATGAAATAAGCTAGTTGAGTTTTAGTTATGATATACACATTTGCACAAGCTTAACTTTACAAAATAATTACCAAAAAAAGTGATTCATTGTATTAATAATGTTACAAAAGTTTTTAAAATTTAATTAATTAGCGCCATGTTACGTAAAAATAATTATTAAAATACAGTAACTTATTTATTACAAAACATTTTTCAATTATGTATGCATTTAGTGAAAAACTTTTGTTCACATAAAAAAGTTCATTTATTTTCCCTTATCTATTATAATATAATAATTATATTAACACTATGTTTACCACTAATAGAGATTGTATTCAATTATAAATATTTATTTCATAAGTTTTATGAAGATTTTAGTTAATTATCATTAATTGTGATCAATGTATGTGTCAGTTGTCTGTA